CTTGAGCTCACTTTGTAGCCCAGGCTGGCCTCACACTCGCAATGATCCTCCTGCCTCAGCGTCCTGAGTGCTGGGATTACCAGTGTGCACCCCCATGCCTGGCGAGTGCCACCATTTTTATCCAGCTTGAGGAAATGGCTCAGTCCTGTAGACGTGGGCAGGTATACTCCTCTGGGAGGATGGTGTCAGGAAGCATACGTGCATCTGTAAAACTGGAAGATCTGTGTTGCTCATCTGATTGGAGTGGGAGGGATACCAGCCTGTGGGGGACGGGTCAGTGAGGGAAAGAAATGACTGTCCACTCTCCTCACCTCACTGGGTGTGGATCCCTCTTTTCCAGTGCATGGCATTCCCTGAGGGTGCTGTCTTTGTGTCCAAATCCAGTTGTCTGCCAGTCTTGTGGCCCAATCTACTTGGCAAGTGGGAGCCCAATGTGAGTTAGTTCTGCATCCATATCACAGCAAGAAATGTGTGGTCTGCATTCCGTGTAATAAAACTTACGCAAGGGTAGTACCAGTACTGGTTAGTATTTCGGTCAGCTATGGGGCATCTCCCTGAAAATACTGCATTTCCTAAAGATTGATTCCGGGCAGTTGTGAGAGTGTGGACTTACAAGTGACCCCCACACCTTCTAGGCTGCTGCCTGGTCATGATACCTGGTTTTGTGATTTGGAAGCTTTCATATGGAGTGGGAGAGACAAAACATCCAGGTCTTGAGCACAGTCGAGGGCTTTCTGACCCTGTGTCACCTCGCCATCCTAGCGACTACTGGACAATTACTCCTGTGGTTTGAGTATGTTTTTTTTTAAATCAGATTTTATTGGTACATTTTATTATTTGTACCTCTACATGATAAAACTTTCTCCCCATTCCCCTACCCTCCCTTCAACCCTTCCCTGTTTACAAAAGCTTTCTATGTTTCCCTTCTTTTCTCCTTCTCTCCCCTTTGTTCCCCTCCCCATTTGAACATTTTCTTCATATTTCACAATACCTATTATACATTTTGGTCCTTATTTACACTTTCGGTTTCTCACACAAGAGAAATAATGCAATATTTGCACGTGTGTCCGATTTATTTCACTTGAGTATGGGCTCAAGGTACATCCATTTTCCTAGAAATGTCTTGAGTATATCCTTCTTTATGGCAGAGTGGTACTCCATTGTATACAAAAACTACACTTTTATCCATTCACCAGTTGATGGGCACTTGGGTTGTCTCCAAGATTAGGCTATTACAGACTGTGCCACTACAAACATGGGTGTGCATATATTGCTGTGCTATGATGCTTTTAATTCTTTTGGGGAGATAGGAGGGGAATGGCTGGGTCACATAGAACTTCTAGTTCTAGTTTTCTGAGGAATCTTAACACTGATTTCCACAGTGGTTGTACCAGTCTGCACTCCCAAAATCTGTTGTGATTTCACCCTTTTCATTCCTAATTGTCTTTTCTTTCCTTTTTTTGATAAGGTTGGCTAAGGGTTTATGAATTTTATTTAATCTTTCCAAGAACCAATTCTTTGATTCATTGAGTCTTTGTATTGTTTTCTTAGTCTCTATTACATTAATTTCTTCTCTGATTTTTATAATTTCCTCCCTCATATGAGCTTTGGGCTTGACTTGCTCATCTTTTTCTAGAAGCTTGTGGTTCAACATTGTTGTTTATTTGAGCTTGCTCTGTTTTCCTTTTTTTTTTTTTTTTTTTGGTATTGGGAATTGAACTCAGGACCTTGTGCTTGCCAGGCAGGTGCTTGTGCTGCTGAGCTATATCCCCCACTGCTCTGTTTTCCTAATATGGGTACTCACTGCTATAAATTTCCCTTGTAGGATTGCTTTCATTGTGTTCCATAAGTTCTGGTATGTTATACTGGCATTATTGTTTAATTCTAGAAACTTACTTTTTTTCTTTAATTTCGTCTATGACCCATTGGTTGCTCACGAGTGTTCATTTGATTTCTATGTGTTTATGTAGTTTTTGTGGTTTCTTCTTGTTGTTGACTTCCAATTTCATTGCACTATGGTCTGATAATATGCATGGGATAATTTCAATTCCTTTGCATTTACTTAAGCATGTTCTGTGAGTTAGTATGTGGTCTGTTTGGGAGAATGTCCCATATGTATTCTGATGATGTAGGGTGGAGCACTCTGTAGACTGCTAAGTGTATTTGTTCAGGAGTTTGCTTTAGTTCTAATATTTGGTGTTCATGAATTTCCTCAGAAGTATTTTATTTCTCCATCAACTTTGAAAGATAGTTTTGCAGGCTACATTAATCTGGGTTGGAGGTTGTTTTCTTTTAGGGCTTGAAATACTTCACTCCAAGCTCACCTTAACTTGAGGGTTTGTGTTGAGAAGTCAGCTGTGATTCTGATGGTCATTCCTTATAGGTGATTTATTTCTTTTCTGTAATAGCTTTTAATATTCAGTACTTTAATTCCCAGTACCAGCAAAAAAAATTTAGTTCTCATGTTGAATTTCTGGAATCTTGACTGTTATATGCCTTGCTGTAGATTTGTTTTGATCATGGGTAATTGGAGTTGTATTTGCCTCATTTATCTGTATGTCAAATTCTTTTTCCCTGCCAGGGAAATTTTCTGCTATGACATCTATGAAGAGTTGGTTTTTTTTTTTTTAATCATTTTTGCTATTTCCTGCTTTTTTCATTGACTCCAATCCATCTTACGTTATTCTTCCTTACATCATGTAGCAGCTGCTGGATTGATTTCTTATGGTCCCTTGCTATTTTTAAGAAATTGTTCTTTTCATGCTCACTAACCATAAGCCTGGCTTCTATATCTGAGGCTGTGTCCGTACAGGTTTATTCTGCTTCTGGTCCTTTCAGTGGAATTTTTGTTCCAGCCCATGGCAGGCCTGGACCATTCTTTTTTTTTTTTTTGGTACTGGGAATCAAACTCAGGACATTGCACTTGCCAGGTAGTCGCTGTGTCACTGAGCAGTATCTCCAACCCTTCAGTGGAATTTTTCATCTCTTGGATATCTGCTTCAATGTGCTATATGGATTCCATTTCTTGTGTATGTTGGGCATTCATGATTTCCATCATTTTCCTAAGCTTTTCTATTTTTTTTTTTTTAATCTTTATATGCTCTAGAGTCACTAATCATGTCTCACATTATGGTTACCATCTCTGTAGCTCTCTGAGAAATTATTTTTGATTTGCTTTTTTTCTAGAGCCTCCTTCATTTACCTTGTTACTCCTTCAGAGAGGCCAGGTGGGGGTGGCTTTTGGATTGCCCTACTTCATTGCCTCCTGGATTCGCCTTTGCTGAACTGGATGTCTGGGTTACATCTCATTTAAGTGACTTCTCATTTTCTTTCCTTTTTTAATTTCCTGGGTTGATGCTTATAAATTAAGTATGGTGAGTAGCTTTATTACTAATATTTAAGACCCTTAGGGAATGACTACTTCTCAGAAGTGTTTTCCCAGTGTAGCTGGCTTCTGGGTTTTGAGTCTGTCAGAAGATCATACCTCTTCAATTTATGGGGCATGAGAAGTTGCTGTCTATTTGGCCCAGCCCTTGGTTCTTTTGCCCTGGAAAGTATTTTCATAGTATTTTCTATGATGCTTAGGCAATCTCAGTTTTAGTGTTCCAGGACAAACAGCTGGGTAGAACAATTATATCACTTTGGCTAAAGTGGTACAGTCAGCAGTAACAATGTCATCAAACAGCCTAGAAATCAACAAACTGAGTTAGCCATTAATTTGACACCTTTAAGTGTGTGAACTAGATATTTGGTTATATAACAAAATCTAAAACAAATCAGAACATTGTATGCATTAAGTAAGCCCTCAATATGCCAATTTTACCCTTAAGGTAGAAAATTTAAAAGGGGAGAGTGGAAAAAATAGAGAAGTACAAGGAGAAGAAGAGATTTAGAAGTAAGGCTGGAGGACAAAGGAGGATCACAAAAACTTTGGTAAACTGGTTCAAAAGACAGAAGAGAAAGATAAGAAATAACAGAACAACCCCAAAAAACTAGAAACCACTTTCACACTCATATAAAAACAAGCTCACCCTCCCACCCCCTCCCCACCAAAACAAACCAATCAAGAGAGAGACAGGAAAAAAAAATATCCACCTCAAGGTGTGCCTCTGCTGTCACTGGTAGAGAAAGTGTGGAGACAGAGGCCAGATCCGTGTTGATTTATCCCAGCAAGCCAGCAGTAGCTTTATGGTGAGGTAGTGGATCATCTCTGAGCCTGTACCTTTTTTTCTCCCTGAAGTTCAGGCTGGCTTCTGGCTGTGAGGGTGGAACCTGACCGGTTCAGCTGCAGCAGTCAGCGCACCTTCTGAAGGCATGAACTCCGCTGGGAGCCGCTAGATGGAGCCAGCTGCTATTGAGTTCTGAGCTCAACTGGCCCCTCTCCAAGATGCCTCCCAGCTAGTTCCCCTCCCTGCTTGACAACCGAGTCTGCACCGGTCAGCTTGTGCAGTCTGTTGCTTCCGCTGCTGCACTGTACTGCTGTGTCTGTGGAGGTCCCTGGTGTTGCCAGCAGTCGCCTGTGCCTGCAGGTCTGAACTGCTCCTTGAACACAGTGATTCCCGACTCAGACAGCAGGCCCTGCCCACCACTCTCTTCTTCCTTTGATGTGTCTCTCTCGCTCTCCCTGTGGGCTTTAGTTCTCATTTCTGATCCTTCCTGGGTCCAGGAGATCTGCTTCCCTTCTTTTCCCTGAGTTGCTACATTCCTGTGTCCGGACAGCAGATCTCCAAGAGGCCCTCTGCTGCTGCTTACCACTTCCCCATCTTGCCAGAAGAAGGCGCTCAGGGCTAGGTGTTTTCATGGTCACTGGTGGGGTATTTGCTCCAGAGTGTTCTCAAGGGACAGGGGCAGGTCATACATGTAGGTCATAGAGTGCATGCTTACACATACTTATACACAAGTCCCCGTGAAATCTCCAAGAGGTACACGGATCACTCCTGCCTTTCCCGAGTCTGCCTGTGCAGTGCAAGCCCAGGCTCTCTGGACTCCGTGGAGTTCACTGTGGGCGTCCACTCCAGCCCGAGGATCCTGAGCATCTCTGGTCTCCAGCTTCCAGGTTCACAAGTTGGTCAGTGCCTTCCTCCCCTTCCAGGCCTCACAGTAACCTTCGGCTGGTGAGAAGAAGGTACTTGCTGAGGAGCGGTCATTTCCACTGAGAGAATAGAGGCTCCAATTAGCCAAACAATTCTTGACCAGGAATCAGGAACAAAGACATCACGGGCCTCTCCCGCTTTCCCTTCTCTGTGAAAAGCAGCTCTGCTTACGCTAAATCGGAACCCTTCCGGCCACCTGGGACATTACGTGGACGTGGGAGTCCAGCTGAGCTCCCAGGCCCGCCTCCGAACCTGCTCAGCTGTTCCCTCAGCAGCGAGCGCCTCACAGACGCGCCGAGACGCCGGAAATGCGCGCACCCGGAAGCCGGATGTGCTTGAAGACGCAGGCCTGGCGGGCGGGTCAGCCGACGTGGCCGGGGCTGGGACGCGCAGGCCC